TCTAGGCATTGTTGACAATGTTTAAAAATTAAAATATGTATGAATCTTAATACGACCTTTTATAATCTTTAATGAGAGACGTCTGCAACAATATTGACTCAAAACATTTTGAAGACATTTCAAAACGTCTCGCTATTACCGCTATTACCATTCTTCTCTACATTCTTATGCCCCAACGGTCGAATTTCTCCCGGCTGTTTCTTTTTACTTGCTCAGCGATAAAACATTCAAAGTTCATCATGGGCCCGCCCCACGAACCTCATTCAATTTTTTTTACATGTTCTCTTCTCTGCTATGAAACCATAAGTGCTTAGTCTGTCGGTTGAGTAGGCCTATATCAGCCTTTCTGACTTGACGAGACCGTCGGCAGTTCTTAGAGATGCCATGGTCTACATTATGTTGGGCCTTTAGGTAGAACGGAGCGACTGAAAGAAAGAGCGCGTGTCTCCAACGTCAGCGTATCTTTGTAACTTCTCTAAAAGCTCTGATCACCATAGACAACCACCTGGCTATAGCCAAAATCTCTTTTGTCGGAATAGGTCTATTCGCCTACCAAAGTCTATAAGCACTTCTAACCGCTCCTCGAACGTATTCTGTCGAATGCGCCTTTGCTTCAGTCTGGGCATATGCTGGAAAGAATAGTCTACATTATAAATAACCATGTTCTGCTAGAGGCTGGTATAGAGTGCAGAAGCACTACTTACCATTTGACAGCTGCACTGGGTTTGACACCTTTTTCCCGTATGGAGGATAACTGGTTATCAAAGGCGATCTTTTTTGACAAGGTTAAAAGATGTAACAAAGGTGCCACCAGGAAGCGCTATAAAGATCATCCAAGGTTCCATTTTGCCCTTACTAGCATAGAGGAAAATCGTTGTATTGCTATTTTGTTTCAATAGACATTTCTTCTATGAAAACGTATATTTATACTATTTAAATCATGGAACCATACTAAATGAATAGCAATAATTGTTCAACTGTTTAAACATGCATCGTTAACTACTGCCTCTGTATACAAATAATTACAAACTGCGTAATACAAATCCATGATTTCTTTTTTCAGGAAACAATAATATCCATCCATCCATCCATCCATCCATCCATCCATCCATCCATCCATCTATCCATCTATCCATCTATCTATCTATCTATCTATCTATCTATCTATCTATCTATCTATCTATCTATCTATCTATCTATCTATCTATCTATCTATCTATCTATCTATCTATCTATCTATCTATCTATCTATCTCTATTCATCCATCCATGATTAGTTCTTTTATTTATTCTTTGTATTGATTATACACAGCTAATATTATACTTGCACCCTTTGTTGTTTCCTTATCTTTGGCTTTATATTTCAAACATAAACTAACACATTGGTCGATGTGTCCAATCCTCCTATTGTTTATATTCGCCCAGTCCCCTTTATAATCAAACAGCAAGTCTACGCCTTTGATGTTGATTTAAAGGATGTGACAGTATTGATCAAATTGGTGCCGAAGGGCTTCGCCTCTGATATAGATGTGACAAGAGTGGGCAAAATGGAACAGTAGAGCATACAGCAGTCTACAGTTACAGCGTGGTTTGCTTCGCTCCATAGGGAGGCCACAGGGCAGACCACGGAAAAAATCGAAGGGACAGAGTATTGATTAGTTTTCTCCCTATTGCCCAGCCTGTCTTTTCAAAGTATCGTGCTCATTTAGAAAGGCGGTGAGATGTGTGGTACTTGTTCATGTTTAGCAGTTGTTCAAGAAAATTTTTATCTTACAGGCATATCGGATTTATTCAGTTGATAACGTTATTCTTTTCCTTTAAAAGTGGTGGCTGATTTGATGTTGGGGAATTATTACAACAGCTAGCGATTCTCTTAAGTGGGTTTTATGAATTATATCCAAAGTCTGGCCTGCATTATAGTATAGTGTTGCATAAGAATGACGCTATGAACTTAAATGACACTTAGTATGTACACATTTTTCGACGTGCCATAGTGATCGCACATATTCCATGAGTAACGGCATAGACTCATTGCTTAATAAATGGCAGCACATAGCTTTCTTGTTCTTCTATTTCAGAGGGTGAAGAAAATGACGTTCAGGTGTATTCCTTTGTGTTCATGCACCAAGGCTGCTTACATAGTCAGTACATTGGGTTTAATAATCGTCATACTTTTTATCCCTTTCCTAAGAAACGCAGTCCTCCATCCTGTCTGGCCCTACGCGTGGAGAGAGATGGGAACGCTAGACGTCCTCGCCCTCAAGTTTTTCACACAAAACACACTGGCAGTGGAGCCAGTTTCTTCGTGCCCCGTGAAGACGAAGCCTGTGGTGAAGCCGTCAGATATCGATGCCAGCAAGGTACGCGTCTACAGTGAGGTGAAAGGCGCTCAGCTGCGCACCCTGGAGCACACGAGATTTCTCCCAGCACTAACGGCCATCGAGAAGCTGCAGTTGCTTCACACGTATCTGGTGTTGGCAGAGGCCCTTAGATTGATGCGAGTGGAGTACTTTTTTGTACAGGGATCTCTGCTTGGCGTGCATCGTCACGGGGGTATCATTCCTTGGGACGATGACATTGACATCACAATCAATGTAACAGACTGGAAGCTGGTTCGGCACGGCCTGTCCTGCATTCACGGCTACGTCCTTGCAGTTACTGAGTACATGCATTGGAAATTTTACCCTGTTGAAACCGGATATCCTTTCATCGACATCTTCTTTTTCACCGAGAATGAGAGATTTCTCTGGGCAGTGTCCAGCTCAACGTCTCTCTACCTAGTATTTCCCAAACAGGACACGTACCCTCTGTCCACAGGGCAGTACGAAGGCATATACGTTCCTGTGCCAAAAAATATCGACCAGATAGTTAAAAATCGTTATGACTTCGACGTCTGCCAGTCTCGCGGCATGGACCATAAGACCAGCCTAGTATATCCATGGTCTTCCATTTCCAAAGTGCCATGTTCAAGTTTGACTTATTTATACCTAATGTATAACCTTGTTTAACATAGGCTATTTGGTGTCCCAGCGGCTAAACAGATGGCTGCCTAAAAGAGGATATCGTCGAAGGCTGTTATTTTTATGATGCGCAACTTTAGCACCATCCTGCGTGCCATCAGCTTTAGCCTATAAGTAGGCACTCCCTGTGGACAGGAGCGTCGTGTGGCCTTTAATTGGCCACATAAACACGAGAAATTCAAATCACCTGCTCATAAGATATTTAAAAAGGGGGGGGGGGGGGAATCTACTATATATACATTGAATTTTTGCCACTTCTAAACGATTGCACATCTTATAAACTTCAGCATCACGGGAGAACACCCGTGTTAAATAAGGATTTTATTTCCACCCCTCTTCCAATCCGCCAAATGAAAACATAGGGATTGTAATTGTACTCATGTACATTTTACAGAGATTTTCATTGATAATCACGACAAAGGATAATTGCTGGTTAATCCAAGACCGTTTTCAATTACTAGGTCACGGTTAATCTCAGCACCCTAGGATTAAACAAAATCGTTTAAATCACCAGTTTCGTTTTTAAAAACAGCTTGTAATTCTGTTGATAAAATGATTTTCTTCCTGCTCCAAAATTACGAGTTCCCTATAAACAATATCTTTTGAAAAGCTTAGATCTAAATTTTTCTATTTTGAAAGTAGATAAATCTATCTGAACTTTTCCCTGGTGCCATTGGAACATGAAACGGGTTGTCTGAATCAGCCAGGAAGACCAATGACTTAGTAGAATTTAAATCTCTAATATGCATTGCTAGATTAACATCTGGATATGCATAATTATCTTGTCATTTGATATACCTGTATGTAAAATTTGTGATATATAGGCCAAGTATGTTATTAAGTTCAAAGTGGTTCTATAAAGCATGTGTATTTCAAGTGATTGGCCAGCCACAGTGTTGTTCCTTGGTGTCATGTTTTGAAATAATGCTGGGGATTGCTCTTGCACTAGTTACTTTTGTTTATGTTATAAAAAACAACAACATTGTAATAATGCAAACTGTTATCCAAGTATAGTATCACATGTCAAATTGTCTGTATTGTCTATGTTACTATTTTCACTATACATGTAGACGAAACAATATTTAATGTTTGTGTTTTGTTTTTTTTAAAATTGAAGTGGTGACAAAAAGAACTACTTTCACATCTTCTGATTAGAAATAAATATAGGGACTGTACATACTCTCTGTGAAGATGTTTTACAAAAGGCTAAATATATGGACTGTACATACTCTCTGTGAAGATGTTTTTAATGACAAAGTATAAATATTCACATGACTCAATTTTGTGTTGAGATTTTTTTTTTAAATTTCTTTAAATGTTTACTTACCCCCACCCTTTCAAATGCATTACCAGCTGATGAACTTAACTATGAATCTATCTAAGTTGTGTATTTGTTGCATTGTTAGTCCTCAAGTGATCAAAAGTATAAAAAAAATTGAAATGAGTAAATAGATACTTTTTTAATGAAAGTCACAGATAAATTCTATCATAAAAAGGTTAAATAACAAAATACTACTTTTTTTTTCTTAAGATTTCATCAACTTTCCAAATTTAGATTTGTGTATAGAACAATTTCACCATTATACTTATTGGCTCATCACTAGCTGTTGCATGTTGACTAATTGAAAAGAATTTAGTCCACACACATAATGGCTGCCTGGTATGAGCTTCAGACTGCCATCTGATAGGCCTGAGTTTGAACCCTACCATCACTTGCTGTCCTGCAGGCTGTTAGGACATAGTTCATTTTAATTTCTGAAGGAACATCCAAAACTTAAAAAAAACAATCCTCTAAAAGTTGTTCCAATCCACTGTATGCAGTTTAGATGATTATGGGATATCCCTGTCAGACATATTTTTCTCCCTTTGTCTCATGTTGAAAAACTGATATCTACATTGCAGCTGTTTCTAAGACAACCTTTCTACTTCACTTATCTCTTGTATTCAGTTATTCCTATTCACTTTTAACTCATACATAACAGATACATAATGTAATTCATTCTCTAGGCCCAGATTAGAATACAATTCATTTTTATTATTGAAAATGATGCAATGACTCTAGAAATAAAGTAATGTTAATTTTTATGAATGTTTTTCTTTATTTACTAATTGGTAATATCATTATTTAAAAAAAATACAACTGATGTTTATAGTCTTATTAAATTAGTTGTACTAAGTTACAATGTTAAAAATATTTTACAAGTTAAATATACACACTTATATTGTATAACAATAAAATACATGACTGACTTAAGAATTAAATCAAAACGTACATATGATACAGGTAGCATAGAGACTATGCAGATTGCCTATTTTCTAAATTGATTGAAATAAAGTTATTCATCAAATGATTTGCATTAGTTTCAGTAAGAATACATATTAAAAATAACAGGCATAGATATAATATTTTTTAATTAGTAAAATGTTTTCCTAGTACAATTAATTTACAAAAGAGTAATTACAATTTTAAATTGAAATAGGTCATACCAAAAATTTGATAGTATGATCTTTAGTATTATCTTTACCATGGCCGACATTTATGGTATAACTAAAGAGCTGTAAGGGAGTTTCTTTCAGAACACAGTTGGACATTGGACAATTGTTTCTGAATAATCTTCAAGCCACTGTATTAAACTTAAAGCAATCAAAACCCACCACAAAAGGCTTAAATGGTCAATTACATTTCAGTGATCAATAGTCTACTAAGTATTAAGCATATAAGTACTTAAGTATTAACTTTAGAAACTCCATTGTAGGAATGTTGACAAGATACTTTTCATCATAGTACTTAAATAATTGCATGATAATAGTAAAGAGCTATACAGAATAAAGGACATACTTCTGTAAAATAACATAAACAGAATCTGACAAAGTCAATAAAAGGTTCAAAAAAATCTTTGATCATGTAAAGCTTGAATGAAAAATACACAGTAGAGATATACATTAATCTGAAGAAAAAATAATTAATTCTTGAAAAAAATGTTTTTATTAAGGCACAAAATAAATGGAAAGAAAACAAATCACAGCAACTCCATGAACTTTTGAGGTTGACAGGTAAACAAAAAATGAAATGTAGCATTAATATTGAAGAAATCAAATCTAATTACAATTTCAAATTATTTAGTTATTATTTGCTGCATTGACACATTTTTATTCATCATACAACATTGTACATGATATACAAAACAAACTTGATAACTCCTGGCTGCTAAAGTATAAGACCCCTTGTCAAGGAAGAAAAGAAAGGTAGGCCTAAATAAAGCAGCTTAAATAAAGCAGACTTGAACATCACTCACAAACAAGCTGTAGAGGAGTCAAGGCAAGCTGAAATAAGTTACATCTGGAATCAGCTGGAAAAAACAAAGATCTCTGGAGAGTTATGGTTAGTGGCCATTATAGCAGAGGAATCACATACAACATTAAGATGGAACAGAGCAAGCAAATAAGTAAAATTTGAGACTCAAAAGACAAAGAATGAACAATTTATTTTACAAGTTAGCACACAAAAATAACTCATTAAATTGAAAGAAAGGAAGATGTGTATATAAATATATCAATTATTTAAATAGACATTGATCAGATTTCTTTTCTTTTTAAATGAAGACCTGGTGAGACAGTATGGACAAATTTCCACATTATGGGCTTCTGGACATAATTTTGAACAAGAGTAATAGATGGCCTTGGTTTTGAAATCATCATCACACTTCATCCTCACTTACAGTCAATGTTATGACATTGATTTTTCAAGAAGCAAACTATTTTACCACAAAACAAGTATTACACTACAGTGAATTCCAGCAATGGCATCCAAATGTCTCAATTGTAGGTTAGGCCATTATACTATGTTAAAAAAACACACCATATAAGTCAAATTTGATATTTAGATATCTCAAATTGAAATGTTAGGTACCCTTTTACCAGCAGTAAAATAGTTTCTTTGGTAGTATTTACATTAAATGACTGCCACTTAAAACAAAGTTAAAGTGTAGAGTATGTATAAAGTTACCAAATATCCTACAAGCCACTGTAAAGAAGTAAAAAAACTTAACCCCTGCTAATTACATTATTCAACTATTTATTAAACATTGTTGTATGATTAACCCCCCCCCCCCCCCCCCCCCCCCCCACAAAAAAAAAGGTTTGCCAATTTATCAAAAATGAGTAACCTACAAATACAACAGGAAAAGGTGAACATTAAGTTTGTTTAAGTAATCACAGAGCTCCAGCAGTATTAAATATGCAATTTGTGTGCACAGCAATTCAGATAGTTAATTTTATCCCTATTTATGTGTTACATTTTTTTTATACTGAATGTTTAATAAGTAGACATCTGCAAGATATAAAACATTAGCTAGATTATTTCATCACTGCCAAATTTACACAATAATAAATATACAATACATGTTCCAAATAAAAAGACTTTTTTCTAAGCAGTCTCCTCTTTTCTAATGACCTTTCTTTGGAGTGCAACTTGTGCGATTTTTTCAAATACATCCTTGACCTTCTCATCTGTCTTGGCAGAACACTCTATGTAGCCAACCATCTTGTTTTTTTTGGCAGTGTTCTCTCCTTTGCCCCTGGGGACAAAATGTTTTATGGACTCGCTTTCATGCCTGATGTCAACTTTATTCCCGACTAGCAACATAGGTATGCCAGGGCAAAGCCTCTGCATCTCCGGCACCCAGTTCTTTTTAACATTCTGTAGACTCTCTATGTTATCAACACTGTTGAGGGACAAAGAAATTTTATCTTAATACTTACATAATACTTGCATTTCCCATCTAATTACAAAATAAGATTATTTCTAATTTCTAAAAAGAAAACCCAACAACTTAAGGCAGGGGAAGCAAAGTACCATAGATTAGCTGTTTTTGTGGCCAATAGTTAACAAGGATCCCGAATATCATGCATAACAAAATCAAAATTTAATATTTAACTAAGTACAACACAGGAAAACCCACCTAAAGCAAATGATGACTGCGTCAGATTTAGGATAGTTTAATTTTCTCAAATGTTTGAAAGTTTCTTGACCACCAGTGTCGTATATAAAAAGCAGTACCTTTTGAAAAAAAAAAAAAAAGTAAAAATGTAACAAAATCAAAATTAACCTTTCACATCTTAATTATTTGTATTTTAAACCTTACCAAAAAATTACCTATGATCTAAGACAAAAAATAACTCTTCAAAATTTTCAATGATAAAAACATTGACAATTTTGGAAAATTGGTCATTAAAAAAAATAACGAATAAATCAAATATTATTGTAAAGTTAAAAAAATAAAATAGTTAAAAAATCATCTACTTTAATTTCAAGGCAAAATGTCTCACAGAGTTCTACTGTTAAAATAGGACAGTTAAAAAACAAAACAATTAAAATAAGCAAAACAAAAAAAAAAAAACAAAAAAGAAGAAGAAAGTGGACGGATCTAATTATCCTCAAATTAAGTTAAAAAAACCATCTAGTAAACAATTAAAAACGGAACTACTACTGAACAAAATGACTAAATTTATGTAAGATTTAAGCGTTTCAAAAAAATGTTAATGATGATGAAATGAACAAAAAATTTACACATATCGTTTCAGTTACTTGTTAAGTTTCTGACCTTCTTTCCTTTTTTCAGTTCAATCAATTTCTCATCCACTTTCAGAGCTGAGGCTATGTACTCTTGAGGCGTATTTTCATCAAAGTCATCTGTCATTAATCTCTGAATGAGACTAGTCTTCCCAACACCACTATCACCTACAACAGCAATTTTACGCTGAGCTTCTTCTGTTATGTAAAGAAAAAAAGGTTAAAAAAACAAGATGGTAATAAGGACTCTTAAGGTATAGAAAAACTCCTAAAAGATGCAGAGATTGAAGAGTTAACAGAGTAAATTATTCAAATTGGGTTTTAAACATTTTTACAGACATAATTTTTTAAGTAGAATAACTAGTATAATTGTTATCTTTAGCCTGTGGTTCTACAGAAATAATTGGAAAGAGATTTTGATCTATTTATGAATAATCCTAATATATTATTAGTCTCGATTTGCAAGAATAGATGCAAACTAGGGGTGCACCAAATAGTATTTTTTTATATTCGGCCAGAGCCGGATATTGCCGAATGGTAAAATATGATATTCGCCCGAAACCATAGCGGATACATACATGTTTTGTAAATAGCTTGTGTTGCTGAACATTTTGCAAAACTGTTAAATAACATTAACATTCCTATATTCATATCAATTTTTTTCTTTTATATACCTTATTGTTTTAAACTCTGTTACTGATTGATGAATTGAAGTTTAACAGTATTTATAAACAGATAGGCCTAATTAACTAATTTGCGTAGCATGAGTGTGTGCTTACGTTCGAGGCCACCAACTGTAAAGGGTGTGTGTGTGGGGGGGGGGGGGGGGAGGGGCTTAATGTAAAATATGTAAGTATATATTTAACTAGTTACTAAAGTAAATCTCTCAAAAGTAAATTGCAATCTAGCTTGTATAGTGGGTGGATGTATGTATTCATGAATTTCAGACCAACAACTGATCATCAGGCTTGTAACTTTAAGTCCAAGGACCGCTTCTGGTTCTAGCTTCAAGGGCTTAATACTGATAGTAGCTATTAGTTAATAGTTTGAATCTGAAGCATTGTAGGTCAATATTTATTGTTTTAGATTAATTCATTTGCGGCAAACGATATTTTATTAACAGTGGGAACATCAATTATACCTATTTATAGCTTGAATCTTAGATGGTGCCGAAGCATAGATTTAATTATAGTCTGTAGGCCTATTATCGATATCTATGTTTAGATCTACAATTGTTTAGATCTAAAAGCATTAGGAAAACAAACTATAGAAGAAAAAAACTCATCCACACCCTCCCTACCAAAAAAACATATATAGACTGTGTAGACTGATTTCAACAACCTGGTCAGATAGACGTAGACACATGTAGTCCTAGAGTAGTGTTGATGGTGTTGACCATCACACTTTTTTTGGGGGGCATATGCAATAGTGTTGAGTGGTCAGGCAAAAAAGATAACACATTGGCATGGCCAGTCAAGCATGTAGATAAATTATACCCTTACACTAGTTACAGGGGTCAAGTGTTTCTTAACATTCCAGCAAATTTTTTCTTTGTTTGCTAGATCTAATTGTGGTACTTTGTACAATTTATTTTCTGCGATTTTAAACTTTACTGTAAGGTTATCTGTTATAATTTAAGTCAATAGAATTAAAAAATGAAATTACCTTTCTTTCTAAAGGTTTTAATACAAGGCAAAAAATACACACACGCACATTTTTGTTTTATGCGCTATAATGCAAAGAACGTATGTAAGAAACATCTTCCTTAATTATTACTGATTTTATCATGGTTTCTGTAACTGTTACGATAGTAAGCCTATGAGTGTCAGGTGTGTAAAAAGTCATCCTGGCCTGATACATAGTGGCTAAGTAAGCATCGTAAGTAAAAATACTGTAATAGTAATAACAAGGAGTTACTTGACATTCCCAAATTAAAAACAATATTATTATCAAATCAAGATTCTTAATGCATGAGTAATATTCAAGCTAACACGTTAGGAAAAGTAAATCAACTGTAATACAGTGTAGTATGCTGTCTTAGCACGTTGTGTTTTTCCATTCCGGCTTGAAAATTGTTGATGTCTATCAATAAATTGAGTGTCAAGGACTAAATTAATAAAATTAGGCGTAGGGGGTGTTTAGCTCTCCCTTAAAAGAGATAGGTCTGGTAGTGTCTTTTATGCTAATATACACAAATCTGAACCTTGTACTTTATTTTACAAAATAATTAGTTACTGGCTTACTGGGCTATGAAATCTCGCGGTTTGTGTTCTGTGTAGCAAAGGGTCACTCGTCTAGTTCAGCTTACTAATTGACATTTATAGCCAAGTAACTCGGCACACATGAAGAGGTGTGGCCTCTAGTCCAGCCAAGTAATTAAGATTTTCTCTAAATAAACAAACTCATTGTCCGGTTACCCGCGTAGGGGTGTGGTTTAAAGTCCAGCCCCCTAATTAAGATTTACTACCAAGTAAACAAACTTAGTTCCCTCAAGTGACCTCTAGAAAGTGCCTACGTCCATCATATCTCTATTGTCTATCACCTGTCTATCAATGAACTCAATGTGATGGACTAAACAAATAAAAGGGGGTTGGAGTTCATCTCTATCTCTGGAGATATACCTGGTTACCCGTATAGAGGTGTGGCTTGAAGTCCAGCCCCCTGACTAAAGATTTACTACCAAGTAAACAAACTCAGTTCCTTCATAAGGTGTGACCTCTAGAGAGTGTCAATATGCTGACATTAAACCTACATTCGTAGTAATTGACTTGTGGTCACCTGTCTATCAATAAACTCAATGTGTTGAGTGTGGTCACCTGTCTATCAATAAACTCAATGTGATGGACTAAACAAATAAAAAGGGGGTGGGAGTTGTTCATCTCTACCTCTGGAGATATACCTGCACAGCTAGACAGACGTCTGGTCAGTGTGAATAGTCAAGGAATATAACATGTTAACTGACTCACTCAAAATGAAAAAATGTGCCAGTCATTGCTGCTCTGTTTGTAAAGCGCATTTATGATGTAAAGTTTCATTTGTATTATATTAACACGCTTTGTCTTTATAATAAAAGATGTTTGGTGCATATTCATAGAGGTCCTATTTTTAAACAGCTTATTTTATGTTGTAATATTATAATATAAACATGAATACATTCTATTACATAATAGGTGTACTTTTTACTATTCGTCCAACTATCTGGCAGGAGCCTAATAGTGAAAAAAGGCTGAATATTTGGCAGAAGCCAGAGTGACTATCTGGTACACCCCTAATACAAACATGTTAAAGTTTTAAAGGTTTTAAACATTATAACAACTAGGTTACTAGAAAATATGACATAATCTTTACTGTCTTTAGTAGCTAAAAGTAATATTAACAATAAATAGTAAGACAAGTTGACTGCACCTGAATTTTCTTGGGAAGTACAACAACCCATTTTAGCTACCTCACAGTTACTTTACTCAATGTCTGTTACTCAGTCACTCAGCAGTGCTACTAGTGACTAGTGTTTAGAGTTTTCAGTTTAGTGAAAATTAGTGTTAC